CATACCATAACCCCACCACCACCATGGGCCACTCGATTCACAACATTACCCTAACCCTAACCCTCACACCAGATACTGACTGGTTTTCGGACCCCCCCAGAACCCCCAATAAAGCAAAAATGCACGTTTCAGAGTGGCCTTTTATTGTGGCCAGCCTAAGGCACACCTGTGCAATAATCATGCTGTCTAATCAGCATCTTGATATGCCACACCTGTGAGGTGGGATGGATTATCTCGGCAAAGGAGAAGTGCTCACTATCACAGATTCTTTCAGCTTTCTGAACAATATTTGAGAGAAATGGTTATTTTGTGTATATAGAAAATGTTTTAGATCTTTGAGTTCATCTCATGAAAAATGGGAGCAAAAACAAAAGTGTTGCGTTTTTATATTTTTGTTCAGTGTAATTTATAAGATAATTATTTTTTATATTCCTTGTCAAGTTGTGAACATGACACTCATAAGAGGTATCCTGGTAATTATTTACTTAAAGGGCCCATGTCATGGTCATTTCTACTGATCATAATTCCATTGTTGAGGTCTACTAGAATACATGTACAATGTTCCAAACTCACATTACGGTTTCTCATACAGCATCTCTGTATAGTATGTGTATTCACTCTCTGTCCCCCCCCCCCTCCCCCTGTGAGCCCAGTGTGCTCTGATTGGTCAGCTCGCCCACTCTGTTCTGATGAGTCTACCACCGTTACAGCGGAACATCAGTGATTATGTGTTACAATGGCGTTTGTTAGCAACCAGAAAATGACACCAGTAATGACAAACAGATGAGAATGCTGCGTGGGGTCTGGGTGCCGTGTTGGCGGGACGTTGCCCGGCTCGCTGCTGCGAGGAGCGGACAGTGTGAGCTGGGTTAATTTCCTGCTTGCTGCGTGGGATCTGCGAGACAGCGAGACATCGCAAATGGACACGGGAAGGGGAGGGGGCTGCAGCACCCCCATCTGCGAGGCTCCACTAGCACCCGCACCCCCAAACGCGGCACACCTACAGTGTAAGCGCGCCACAGTTTTGCCACTGTGAGGCTCCACTAGTACCCCCCCAGCGCATCACAGTTTTGCCGCTGAGTGTGTGTGTGAGGAGCTCCACGGATTGGTCCATTTGGGAATGGTCACGTCACTGTACCCAGGAAGAAAAAGAGAAATCTCCAACGAGGCGTTCTGGGGCAGCATAGACAGGTCTTTTCTGTGTTAGAGTTTTACTCGCTACAGGGTGTACTTTGAGGGTTTGTGACTCTGCAGACCGTTTACATGCAGAAAAACCTTCATAACAAACAAGGGGACGGGTATAACCAGAAAAGCATAACATGGGACCTTTAATGAAAACTGTCATTACTCAGGAGTTTAAATTACTTTATTGTTATACCTGCGTTATGAATGAAGGTTTGTTGTCTCCCCTGTTGCGTTGCAGCCGAAGAGCCTGGAGCACTATCTGAGTCAGGAGGAGCCTCGGCTGCTGACCCACCTGAAGACCAGCGGGACCCTCGCCCAGCTGCCCTACGGCCTCTGGTTCAGACGCTGCTTCGCCGGCTGCCTGCCCGAGTCCAGCCTGCAGAGGTGCGTTCACTGTCCACAGCGCACGCCTGACATCTGCACACTTCCCCCTGGCCAACACACAAGCTTTTCTATCCTCAGCAGTCTGATATGTGCAAAACCTGTATTATATTATTCAGGCTTTTCTAAAAGATCTTTGAACCACATTTCAAGTGGCGAACGTATTCCGATCTTTTAAGTAAAAGATGCAATGCTACGGTTAAAAAATATTCTGGTAAAGGTAAACGACTAAATATAATTAAAAAGGTGCAAATGTGTATGTTATGCATTGATTATAATTATAAATCCAATATTTATATATTTAAGTTTATCACTTCGATGTAACAGCTGGTAAAGGTGGACCTGTTTTCAACAAATGTATATTCTGTCTGACCTATAATAATCATATACCCTTAATATATTTTATATTCTGCATTAATAATCAGAACATTTAATGAACCTTAAGCCTGTGAAAACCATATTTTCAAAATGAGACATTCTGCATGTTTTCTATTGATGGAAGTACTTGTATATTTGAAGTAAAATTAGCAGCTTCATAATTAAAAATCCTGCATTCAAATTCCTAATGAAGTCAAACAGGCCTCAACATATACTTAAGGTACCTAATGTAAGTACTGTATGTATTATGCAGAATTTATAATACATTAAAATACTTTCCGCATTGTTTGGTACTTTATAGTTGTATTGTTATAAATTAAGCTATAATAACCCTTAAAAATAAATAGCGCAGTGAGAAATACAATATATCACTTTGAATACAAAGAAAAAGTACCTCAAAAATTGTACTTAAAGGCAGGGTAGGTAAGAATGGAGAAACCCGTTCCAGTTTCAAGAAATCAAGTTATTTTAGCCGAGCCGGCTTAAATGATTGGTCGTGCTTTTCACAGCGCCACGGCTTCCACAGATGGCATTTTTGTATGTATTTATTGTCAAAGCATTTAATGAATTCATTGCTATCGGAATGTTAAGAGCGTTCCATGGAATATAACAAAAAGTGTATCTGAAGTGAATGACCTACCCCACCTTTAAGAGTAAAAATGCTTAGTAACATCCTCTACACATTTCTGCCTAATTGGTGCCTGTTCTAGAAAGATGTCAGATTAAATGACAGATTTTGCCCAACTCACATTTTTCTCTCTATTTATTAAGCCCGTTTGGTAATTCCACATGAGTAGACTTTTGTTACATCTTGACCTTACATCTACTTGTTGAATGACCCTCTGATGATTGTCAGGGTGTGGGACAAGGTGATCAGCGGCTCGTGTAAGATCCTGGTGTTCGTGGCCTTGGAGATTCTGCTCAGCTATAAGATCATGCTGATGGGAATCAGCCGGCCTGAAGGCGCGGTGAGGTTCCTGTGCAATGTGAGTGAACCACAGCCAACACCAAACAGAAAGCACTGTCCTCTTTTAGGTGAAAAACCTCACCATGTGTTTTCTCTTCCAGATACCGCAGGAGAACACGGACGCCATCGTAACTAAAGCCATCGACTTGTGGCACAAATACTGCTTACAATCATAATAATAATAATATATATATTCTTTTTTTTTTCTCATAAGAAAGTACAAAAATGAATCATTCTCAAATAGTCTCCGTCATGTTCAACAGGGGCAAGAAGAAGCTTCTGGTCCTACCCCCTCTAGCATACATTTTGCTTATAAATAAGTTAATTTGTTTTTTTGCTTTTTACAAAACAATCTGAAAGAAATTACAATAAATAACAAATGGGATTGTACAGGTCCTGTTCATAACCATTCATGATTTGGCAACTAAATAATACTTTCAGTTTAGATAGACTAGTACAACATTTCAGTGCATCATTACAGTTATTCCACAGACTAACATCTTTTGATGAGATGCAATGCAGTTTACCATTTGTTCGTACGGGTGGTTTTTTGAAAATGCAGTTTCCTCTCAACATGCTTTCTCTCCGTGTGAAAAGATAAGGTGCTGTCCCACGACAGAGCACAAACTCTTAACTCAACTGAGACTACGGATTTGTCTCCGCATGACTGGACAAAAAAAACTCATCATGGGCTGCTTTTAATAAGCCCCAGGACTTGGGAGCCAATCCAATTACAGACAGGACAACACATCCCAGCTCTCCCCAAAGAATGATCGACTGTTTGTGGAAAGGACACTGAAAACAGCTGCTATACAGAGAGGATGCACAAAATCTGTTTAGAAAAAAGGCAAGGATTCATAAACTTATTTTCTTTAATAAGTTTCTTTCTTTAAGAAACAGCTTACATCATAGAAGACAATAAATTAATACCCACATGCAGTTGTTCTGCTTTACAAAAAAACATTTGAAAAGTCTTGTTTACTTTCTTTGCTATTTACAAGTCTTAGAATTCTGAGAACAGTTTTAAACGTACAAGAGACAGTAATATTACCGACGCTCGTACTGACACACTCACTCACAGATCAAGTCCTCCCGATAATAAGGTCAAAACTGGCAATTATCTAATGTGGACCAAAACCATAAAAAGTAAGCTGGCAGGTTTTCCTTTTCTGTGCCACCAAAGATTTGACTGACAATAAAAAAAGAAAGTCTGTTTTTTTGAAGTTCTGCAACTTTTTACTGTGTCAACGAAACAAGTTAATTTGGCAACGTTCAAATCCCTGTAAACAATACTGTAGGCACAGTGACACAGTGAGTTACTGAACTCTCAACAGCAGTCATTCTGGGATGCATTCAAGATCGCAACTTCAACAGGAAGTCAAGTGGGGATCAAAAGTGTGAACACATTTTGAGCTCTTGAATGCAGTCCATTAACACAAAAAACGATCAGGCTGTGAAGTTATTGCTCAGTTAATGTGTTTTACATTTTTTTCTGTTACTGTCTTGAAAAGATAATTGTTATATTTTAGGTCATTTTGGCTTAAGATGCAGCTGCCTACAGATATGAATTCCTCTGGCAAAATGTGAAACGATCACTAACATGTTACTTGTTAGACGCTTTTATCCAAAGCGACTTACATACTCAATACTGTGGACAATCCCCACAGGAACAATTTGGAGTGAAGTGTCTTGCCCAGAGACACAACAACTTGCTGACTGCAGTGGGACTCGAACTTGCTACCCCCTGATTTGAAGTCCAGCACTCTATCCACTGAGCCACAGCCGCCCCATTGAGATGTCTTCTGTGGAATAATACCATGCCAACACAAACCCAAAGGATATAAAGTCCATTTAAGGAGTGACATTATGGTGAAAGGCAAGAAAACAATCCATGTGTTAAAAATAAATTCCTTTCTTCAGCTCCTTGGCACAGATTCTGTGTTTCATTTCAAGTGCCCTGTTCAGAAACAAAAGTGCTGCAAAGTAAACAAGTTTCGGCTTCATCTTAAAATAAATGAAGCTCTATTGAATATCAAGAAGTGTGTAAAATCGCCACTGTTGAGAGACTCCAGGTGAGAGTTTGTTCCATTTGTACTTGAAGTGTTTCCTGTGACGGCCGCAGCACACGCTGCGTTCAGGTACAGTCCGTCAGTGTGAGGGTGGCAGTCTGGACACTTGAGGCATGGTGTGTGAGTATAAAGCACAAGACTGACCCATCTTACGGCCGATGAAACCTGCAGAGAAACCAAAGAGAAAATGAGGAACTTCATGGAAATGCTGTGGTTTTTCCCCATACCACTAATGATAGACTTGTTAAGTTAATATGCATTTTAAATAGTATGCATTTCAAAACCAACAGTTTAGTTTTTTGAAAAGTAAAACAAAAATGTCATTGTATATGTCTGTAAATGTTTAGAAACGTCATAGTGGAGTATATTGAAAATATTAAAGTATGCAAATGTCATCAATTTGAGAAGCATTTAAAAAGGTCATAGTGTGTCGAGAGAAAAAAATCATGGTATTGTATGTCGAAAAATATACAAAAGTAATAGTATAGTATGTAAAAAATGTATGAATAGTAGTAATAGTAATTTTTAAGCATGTTCAAAAATATGCATAAACACTAAACTGTTACCTGGTCAGGTGACGGCTGGACTCGTGCACCTCCATCTCTGTGCTCTTAAACTCATTCAGCTCCTTCCTGATGGCAGCCTGAACAACACACAGGGAAACACTTATTTACCCACAGTATAAACTGTATGCACAGACAGCTTGAATCCAGAGTAAAGGATCAGCTGGTTTTGATTGACATGTTTGTTAGTTTCACCTTATCAGCAGCAGTGAGCCGGGTCCACGGCTTGTCGGCTCGGCGGTCGTAGTCCTGAGCCTCAGCGACCTCCACATAGTCACTGAAGCGGATCAAGATCTTTGCCTCCCTCAGCTCCTCCACTGTGGGCCTCTGGCTGAGCTGCAGGGTGCAAAAAGAAAGAGGAGGGGGGTTGTCAATATCTGGATGCCCTGCAACATGTTGAAGAATATCTTTGTGCTATAATGTTCCAGATTTGTGACTGAAAACTAACTGGTTCATTTAACTAGGCCGATTTAAAATAAAGAAAGGGAAAAGCTTTGTTTTCGTATGTTCAAAAATAATTATAGTTTCTAATAAATAAAATGTAAGTATGAAGTGAATCTAATTTCTTTCTTTGTATAAGTAAAGTTAAATATTAAATGAAATAGTACAAAGCACTCAGATGTTGCACACTTCTTTCATCTTCTTTCTTTTATGACAAAATCTATTAAGTAGTTTTAAAGATATCTTCTTGGACAAAAACACTGGCCTTGGAAGAAAATAAACCAAAAAATATAAAAACACTATTTATTGAAATCATTTTTGAGACACAAAGTGCTGAAAAACATTTGTATAACATAACATCTATGGATAAGTGGCTTTATCCATCAATATATACCATTTGTGAAATGCTCACACACTCACACACAATAACAGGGTGATGCAACAGATATTATCCTTTCAAAATGGGCATCTGATGTGTGGTAGTTTGGTCACCACGGCAACCATGTTTATATTTCTAGCTGGGGTCATAAACAAACACTCCCATCATGTACACTAAGGTGTCCATCTCCACCTGTGTCTTACCTTTTTGGACAGATGTCTCTTGATCTCCCTTTTCTCCTCCTGTTCATCGATATCGTTGCGAGCTGGAAGAAAGGAGAAAGAGAGGGTCATCACACACTGGGATTCTTGTTATTACTAGTTTCTCTTACAGTGTGTACATGTACTTACGTTTGAGGATATTCCTCTGCTCAAGTTCCTCTGCTGACGGCCGTTGACTTAATCGTCTGAAAACATGAAAGGCGTGTCGATGTCAGGAGTGTTTGTGCTTCCAGATCATCATCACTGTGCGAGATGTATGCAGTATGTTACACAGGCAGAAGAGCCGACTGTGCATGGGACGTCATTTTTGATGAGGTAGTATTTTGTGGATTTACAAGCCGTCTATATCTATCTCTAAGGTGGAGCAGCGATTCAGACAGTGGGTAGGATGATTGATAGAGAGTGAGAAGTAAAGGTATGCTGTTTGTGCAGATATGCCGCTTTAGTGTGCTCTGAAATGTAAAATAATAACATATAAACATTTATTTTACCCAAAGAAGAAAATGATGCTCTTCTAAAATGTAATGTGAATTTATTTGACTGGAACTCGATATGTTCCTGAATCCTTGAATAAGATGTGTATTAAAGTATTTCGATATTTTTAAAAGTAAATATAGTTTTTTGCAGAGCTTTAATAATTTACCATTATGAATGATTAGCGTTAATGTTATGTGGTTAGATATGGAAACATTCTTGTATCTAAACAAAAAAAAAATGTACACTTTTTTCAGCTTTCATGCAACAAACTATACCCCACTTTTTCTTGGCATATAATTGTTTTGTAGCTGCTCCTCAGCTTTAATCTCCCCCCCCCTCCCTCTCTCCCCCCCTCCCTGCATTATGACTCATCATCCATCATCTGCTCCCTTTAGCAGCCAGGTCACATCTATCACAGTGAACAGGGGTTAAAGCAGTCTGCGGGGGCCCGGCCTGCTTGTGGAGTGATGTTGGTCACATGATGAAGGGACTGTGATATCTCTTAGAACCACTGTTCTCAGTGGCTGGACAATCTCTGCATGTGTGTTTTAATCCAGCGGCTCACCTGGTCAGTTTGGTGGCCGTCTGTTGTCGAGACTCGTATCTCTGTTGGTCCGACTGCATGGGCAGGATGTTTTTGTCCTCCAGGTCCCTCAGCGTTGGACGGTTATTCAGCTTGATGGCTAAAGAGTCCTTTCGTAACACCTTCATGGCCAGTGTGCCTACAATGGAGCAAAATGGATGAGGTTCAAGGTTCTTTATTTGTCATACGAACATACTGTAGCTACAGTAGTAGTTATGTCGAAGACAATCTTAAGTCACAGGCTTCTCCAACAGCGCAACACAATAATACAGAAAAACATAGTGCAAGTAAATATTAAAAATTAAATACAAAAAGAAAAATAGTTTAAAAAAAGTGAAATAGTGAAATAAGAGTCTATGTATGATGATATGTCAGTACTCATATCACAAGCTCACTGTAAGGAGCCTGTATAGATTTCCTTCCAGTTCCTAACACTCTTTTGTTGGTTGTTTATCACGGTTCTTTATTTTGATTTTATTGTTTTATTTCCCCCCAAAAAAAGCAGAAACGTATCCGCCCCTTGATTAATTTAGATGCTGGATAACGATATGATAGCTCACTCTTCTAAGTGCATGTTTTCCCTAAAATCCGCAATAAGATTACAATGAATCCAACATTGGTAATGTTAAAGGAGTCGCTTGGAAGTCACAGTCCTACGGATAATTTGAACCCTGCAGCTCAATGCGGTTGTTTAGCCTCTTTTAGCCCATTATTTGAAGTGTACAGCATTCAAACATGCCAAAATGCCACGATAGAGCTGGGTTGACGACACGCATACAAATAATGATCAGCCGCAGGTCTTCACTGTAATGGAACACTTCTGGAGCAATGGAGTCGAAACACAATGAAATACGGAAGAGCTGGAGCTTGATGGCAAACACTGATGTTTTTTTTGACGTTACAGCCAGAGAACTCCCAAGACGTGTGCTGTGCCACGAGGTCACACAGCAATTGCCCAACCAATTCTAAAGATCTCTACCCAGGCCCAGACCCCTGTATTCTGCTAGTTCTGAGAGAATAATCAACATTGTGCATAACAAGATAAAACAGGCATAGCACAATAACACCTCTATCAGCTGACGCCAACAGGCAGGAACAGGGAGACAACACAATGAGAGCACAGCAGCCGAGGTTGGTCTGTGAAGGCCACAATAAACTGGGTCACATTATGGGCCTGGGAAAATATCCTCAACATTCAGTACAACAAATCTTGACTAGAAAAACTCTCATAAAAACTCTTAAAATAACAGAACTTGTTTTATATTTCGGCAGTATACTTTCCTAGTTTGCGCTTTTAAATTGCACTTAATTTGCGATCTAAAAACTGCTCCCTGTCTTGTCAGGTCTTATACATTACTTCATCAAGTATTATTCAAAATATTAGCTTTGAGTTGGTGATAAAAACAGTTAGCAGCTAGCTGGCTAACATATGCTAATATTCAGCAACTAATAAAACTGATATTCATTTGTTTCTCAGGAGTTGGTGGAAACAAAAACAACTGTTGACAGTTTGTAGCGTCAACCATAGTAACTGTGTCTTTATCTGCTCGGTGTGGAGTTCTTCTGTGCCCTAGTGGCTAAATAAAAGCAGTTGTTCTATCTTCTTTTTTCTCAAATTGTTTGACCTCCCCCCCCCCCGGTGAGATTTATTTATCAACCAGTCGTAGGTTTTTGTTTAAACCTATATATTATATATTGTGTTTATATTACTTGTTTAAAATAAATACACTAAATAAACCATAACCATTGGTTCTGAGATGCATAATTCAAATCTATGATAACAAACTGCAGCTCAGAGTGCTTCAAGCCATTTGCGACAAATGCACTTGTTCATCCATATGGAAATATGATAACACACGCTCAAACATGCATATGCACACACAATACATTATGCTTACTGTTAAATTATACAAATTGACTCTGTAAAAGCATTTCTGGTTACAGTATTATTTGTTCAAAGCTCAGTGTGATGTGTTTGAATAATGTAAGCTAAAACGAACAATGAAAAGGTGGATGTCTTCCAAATACATAAAAAGAATAGCTTACTTGTAAACATTGTATCATCATCATCTTCCTCGTCATCTTCGTCTTCTTCATCCTCCTCCTCGTCATCTTCTTCCTCCTCCTCGTCATCTTCTTCTTCCTCCTCAGGCAGGTCGTCATAGACCCCCTCGTTGCGCAGGTTTTCTTTGTCGTCGTTGCACTCGATCATGACCGCGGGAACAGAGTGCATCATGGAGCTGCAGGTGGGGGGGAGAGGGCAGAGGTCAGAGGTGTATGCTCAATGTAGCCTGAAGGTGTGAAATAACAGCAGCTGTACGGATGAGTGTGACACGTGTAAAAAGCCCATGAACCATGAATCATGTGTGTCTGGACATGTAACATTGGCCTTGAAGTCTGAAAGCAAACCAACGGTCGTTCAGTCAGAGGAGGTAAAGAAAACAGTTAAAGTCATAACAGTGTAAAATTAAAGCAGCAAGCAGCGATGAACAGACCCTCGCACATCCACGCACATTAGGGTATTTACAGGATGGCTGTTAACCCTCTCAAACCCACAATAGGACATTTCCATTTTTGTGTTTTGCCATATAAATTATAATTTTTTACAGTATAATCCAGTTTTACACATCCCAGAATTCAGCACAACCTCGGTTAATGTCACTCATTAAATACATTATAATAGGGAATATTTGCCCATACTGTAAAAAAAAAAAAAAAAAAAAACGGAGCTTGAATTTTTTACTTATTCTATTAAAACTGCTAACCATACTATAAAAAAAAAAAACTGCTAACAGAACATTGGACACATCTGTTGGAATTGGGCCAGAAGTGATTAGAAAATGCTATCTTATTCTGCTCATGAGTTATTCTCATTCTTTTGGGCAGTGTCGATGGGCATTTTTTTGCCAGGAATTGTCATTTTTCTCCTGCCAAGTTGGATGTCTAAACATGATATCATGGCAGTTCCCCTTCACAATCACACACAGGAGCACATGGCATGCTTTGCACCAGCTCACAGCACACAATTCTCAGTCACTCCGACTGGCTGTGAAATGACCACTGGAGACCAGACCCATAGATACACATAACGTACCGCATGGAATGTGATGCACTAAAAAGCAGCATATCCCTTAAGAACTGTGAAACGTAGGCATCCTTTGATAACTTTTCAACTGTTTGCTGAAAAAGGATCCGTTGAACTATATATTAAACGTTTTCTTTACCTGTGTGTGTGCCACCAAATCAACCACATGTGGCAACTGGTCACCCTACCTTTGGAGTCCAGTATGTGGTGCTAGAAAAACCACGCTTAAAAAAAAGTATGTTGCACATTAGCACATGTAGACCACGCATTGTAATTTTCATGTATATTGGATGATATTTGTCACATAAGGCTGACTTCCTGTTAACAGCAGGTGGCGCTATGACTAAGGCTCATAATAGACCTGTAAATGTCCTCAGGCTGCGACTCTTATCAAGCACAAGGAATTTGGAGCAGGTTGGAGATTGTATGCACACGTTTCAACAACGTTCATGGTGAGTGTCTCAAAATGGCCGGCGTGTTACGACCATTTTATACCGATATATACCGATTTATATATACAGTCTATGGTTACGACCAGGGCGTGTCACGGAACAGAAAGCTTTTAAATCATTTTGATCCTCATGGTCGATTTTTGTGAAAACAAACAGGTATATACCCCAAAAGCATATTAAGGACCTTTCCACAAACCTGCCTAGAGTAGAGGCTGGCTCGTATCAAATGTACAAGTAGACATACAACCAATCATATTGATGGATGATGGAGGAGGGAGCTGGTGAAAGGAGAGGGGGGTGTAAGCTTCATGCGTCCATTAATGAGAGACAAAGGGTAGAGCTGGGGAAGATACTTTTAATACCAAGATGTCGATATTGTGATTATATTGTTGAGTTGAGTATCAGTGCTTGCCTCAACATTTTCATATCAAGTGATCATCAGAAATGTGATATTCTGACTAAGTGGCTAAACAAAAATAATTAAAAAATCATATACTTCTACTGTAATGCATCCTTTTGAACCAGGAACAGAGAGCACTAATGCTATATTAGGATAAGAAAAACCAAACACAATATCCAGTCTAATATTGCAAAATATTGGTACATCGCCCAGCCAAGAGGGATGAAAAGGAACATGTTTCTTATTGTGAAACTTCGGCAATGAGAGTGTTTTAAAAAAGGGATTTCAAAGAAATAGCTGCACTCAAAATGTATATATCATCAAATGCACGCACACACAGGTTTATTGATCTGCAGTAAAGCCAAGGGTTTTGATTTCCACTTGATCCTCACCTCTCAAACCTCTGCATGGTGAGGGCCAGGGTCTTGTTGAGCTCCTCTATGATCCGCCTGGGGGGGTGGAGCACCCCGTACTGTAGGGAGTGCCCGACCACATGGCTGGGAGGGGGGCACTTCTGGAAGGCGAGCAGAGTTGGCTCCATGCCCCCTGCAGGTACGGAGATCAGGAACTTCTTTGGAGGTAGAGGAGGAGAAAACTTGGATGACATGCACGGCAACTTCACCGGGGTGCCGTCTGCGTACAGAGGAAGGAAGTGGAAGGAAGTGGAAGGATTAGAGATACAAACAAAAACATGCACGTGCAGATATGAGTGTGCACAAAAAACAACGTACCTGCTATGTGATTGGGTAGCCTGTTGAAGGGTTTGGGCGGTGGTGTAGGAGGTTGTTTGTGTAGCGTTGGAGGTCTTGACAGTGGTGATGATTCGGCGCTGTCAGCAGGATACACAGTGGGCTTCTTAGTGGATTTCTGAACGTGGTCCTGTTGACCCAAACCTTCACTGGGCATCTGAACCTCCAGAAAGCCTGAGGACAGGAAGCAAAGAGACATCAAATCTGTGAGATGCTTCAATACGAGGTGAGAGACGAGGCGACGAGGGAGGCGAGTCTCTCTTTCCTACCTACAGCTGCAGCGGCTCCTTCCATCTGCTCTGCACCTTCAGACTCTGACGGGCCGTTCTCCATCTTCACGTCCTCACGTAGCGTCACAGAGCCGTCTGCGCGCAGAGAGAGAGAGAGAGAGAGAGAGAGAGAGAGAGAGAGAGAGAGAGAGAGAGAGAGAGCAGGGAGCAGGGAGCAGGAAACAGGTGGAAGATGGTCAAAAAAAGGGAAATGGAAGACAGGTAGATTTTTCTAAAATGGCGGCAGCTTACTGTCTATTGTTATATGATTACAAGATAAATATGTGGACGACACAGCTAACATTAAAAATGAAAGACCAACCGCCAGCAGTTTCTATAATCACTTCATCATTGCAGTAGATAATCACGTTTTTGCTTGTTTTCTCCGACCAAAAGCCCAAACGCAATGTCAACACTATATTTTGGGCTTTGGGGAAATTGTTGCTTATCAGTAATGAAAACATAAAACATGTTTTTAATCCTTTACAGAGCTTTTCCCAATAAACATATTTTTTCTGAGATGCTTATAATATAAGGTTTCCATATCCACATTCATGTCTAAAATAAAGTTTCATTATAAATCACATTTCTGGGTTATTGCACGGCCACTACAAAAAGGATATGAGACGGAGTAAAACTAATAAAATCTGGAAAAGCTATAGATAGTATTTTATATATAAATTAAACACATGGATTAATCAACTGCCTGTCTCAACACTTCAAACATGTTCACACTTTAGTCCCACCTCATGCTTCACACTCACCTTTCTCATAAACCTCCTTCAGCACTCCTTTTTTGATGAGCTCCTCTCTGCTCTGACGAGTCGACATTTTCCTCTCCAACACTGAGGGAGCAGAAAGACATGACGATGAACAAACAGATACATTTTGAAAAAGCCTTCAGGCCAATTGTGCACTGAACACTCAGAGCGTCATCAGTGTGAGGGAAGTGGCAGCAGCGGCAGCCGATGTTTGGACCAAACATTACGTCGACACACATATATATTATATATAAAGATACAAGTCTCAAAAGAAAATCACATTTTCTACCAAACTATTTTTCCTTTACATGACAGTGCCATGCTAAATATTTAGGTGTTGGGTTTCTATGAAAACCATTACTTGTTTTTTATATTGTGACATTTCATTCTAATACAATAGAGCAGGGGTGGGGAACCTTTTTCCTCTCAAGGGCCATTTCAATTTTATCAACATCCTCCAAGGGCCGTACAAATGATTGAACTCAATCTCTGCTTAAAAAAACTAAAATCACAGCCCATTCATTTCGCCTTTCTTTCATGCTGTGCAAAGAAAAGCAACCTCTTAATCCATTTTACCATGACTCGCGCATGCATGCATGTGCACGGTGTGGCATGACCACCAAAACAGAAAGATATGGACAGAAGATGTGTGCAAATGTATTTAGTATCCATGTGAACATGATTTAAGTGGGGGGAACCTAACCTCCTCTAGGGGGGTCTGGGGGCATGCTCCCCCGGGAAGATTTTTTTTTAAATATTGAAGTTAAAAGCATCAATCTGGTGTACTTTGAGATCAACATGAGCAGATCTATGGGTACATCTTTCAACACCCATTTGAAACAGAACTGTAAGCAGATTTTTCTTTTTCCACGAATTACACAAGTCACCCAAAGCAGCGTTAAACAAGCGGGAGGCGCCGAAAAGCGACTAAATTGCATCACTGTTTGAAGTCAGCTGAAATGCTAGCTCTGTGCTAGCTCTGAGCTAGCTCTGTGCTCTTCAAGCAGGCTAATTATGCTAGCCATGTCTGAGACAGCAGTTTCGGTCTTTTTTGCCTGTTTCGTCTCCGTTTTCAATGCAGATTTCGGCATCACATCGGCTTTTTCTGATCTATATTCCAAATTATGTTCACACAACACGGGTTGAACTCAACTTCGGTGGTTTTAAATTAAATGTAGAAAGTAAAGTCGTGGGAGAACGAGACAACGCAGCCCTCACATGTTCGTCCAACCGGAAGTCCACATCCCCACTTCTTGTGTAGCTAATTAAAAAAGCAAATATTGAGATCAGAGCACTTTTTTCTGCCACACATACAGTAAGCAGAGATGTTGCTATATATAAATCTCATATGAGTTTAATTCTCTTTATAGTCAAGTCTTGCAATAATTACATAATGCATTGTGTATGGTTTTTTGCTTATGCTGCCCTAACCCATTCCCTCTTGCTAAATATAATATTCAATTGAGTGCAAATACAAACCGAAGACTATGCTGCAGTTATTTCAATATTCATGTATAAACATTCATTCATAACTCACTTTCCTCTACGGTTTTTATCATTTCTTTCAGGAACAAGTTATTTCATTGGATTTACAACATAATGTATTACGAAAGAACATAGCAGTACAGTTTCACGTCTTGGGGTTGATCCCCTCTAAGGTAATACAGCACTGCAGTATGGAAAAGCCAGGCGACTGTTGATTCAAATTCAGGGAGAATTTATAATTCCCCAGTGCAGTGGGAATACATCTTGGAAAAAAAGATCCTCCTGGGTTTATTGGATTAGCATGAGGTGGCTCTTTCAAATACTTTAAAAGCAGCAGTTAAAGTGCAGTAAGCACACAACAGGACATGGCATGAATATGACCATGAAGGACTTCAAATAAGCCGCTATCTCAATGCCATGAGGTGTGTGGTAGCCAGCCCAGCAGGAAAATATTTCCCATGTATTGAATAAATTCAATCAGTGTTATCCCTGTCTACAGCTGCATCCAAAAGACGTTGTGTACGTCACACCATTCGTTGTGATGCCGTGGAGGTCTTTATTTTCATAGAGTTGTAAAAAATGAAATATTACATTACATGTTAGACGCTTTTATCCAAAGTGACTTACATACTCAATACTGTGGGCAATCCCCACAGGAGCAATTTGGGGTGAAGTGTCTTGCCCAGGGACACAACGACATGCTGACTGCAGTGGAGTTTGAACCTGTGACACAAATATAAATATAAGTGGATAGAATATAGGATTAGTAAAGATTGTGTTTGTATCCACTCTCCCTGAAATCATAAATCTGGCAAGCATTCGATTGAATACATGATTCTTATAGGCCGATGTGCTGGCACAGTGGGGACAATGCTGCATAGAATTAAACAAATGGAGAAACCAACACAAAAAAAAAAAAAACATTAAATATCCATGGGTTTAACATCAATGGGAAAATGGGATGGGATGACAGTAAAGGAGAGTAATTGAAAAAAGGTCTTGGTGTTTGCCCTTCCTGCTCTGCTTGGCATGGTTTGCATGGTTTATTTCCTCCTGCCAAGCAGAGAAGAGAGCATCAGTTGGAGGTAGTTCACCTGGGCTGGGCTTGAAGCCTTCAAAACTGGCATGCATGATCCCCCTCGGTTTGTTTGGTTTGCTTTGATGCTTTTTAACATTCCCTCATCCATGCATCAACCGACAGTACGGATTTCTGCACAATATTACCTTATTTGCCACTTGATAATGCTTCATTAACCTTTTTGGATGAGTGGTTTGCATCTCGTCAACATTTCTAATACCCTAATTTGTTTCCTCTTACCTGCAGATAAGGCACAACTTTGCAAAGAGTTTTTCCAAAGAACCAGGTCTCTGTGATGTCGACCACGAGACTCGCAGGGAGGCAGATGATGGTGACCAAGACATCGGCAAAGGAAAGGTTCACTATGAAGTAGTTGGTCACTGTGCGCATGTGACGGTTTTTCCACACTGCAAAACAAACTGAAAATGGTGCACAATCAAAAGATCACCCCAATACATGTCAATATGTATCTTTAAATGTTCATTAATAGTGTATTGAAGGCATTTCTGTCAATCACAGAATTTATTTCAATTAATGCTGGTCTTGTTTACATATTTTCTTGTTGGCAAGTATTTTGCGACTAGAAATGTGCCTACAGACAATGAAAATGTAAGTATGAAATTGAAATATATCATCTGATGATGTTAAAATAAAATACTCGCTCTTGTTGCAGTTTGAATCTGCCAATAGGCCTACAATAAAACCATGTTTTGTTTTTCTTTTAAGGAGCAAGAAAATATATTTATGCCACTGGTAAAATAGTACATTATAAAGTACAAGATGTCCATTAGAGGTTATTTTCAAGAGACGGTACCTTGAATGTTAAAGGTGGGGTAATTTTGGAGAAACCAGTTTGAGAATTTGAAAATACACAGCTGGAAAAAATCTGCCAATTCCTTACAGAACCCCTCCTCCAACACACACGAACGTGCACATGACCAATGAGGGCACGAGATCAGTTTGTGCACAGATGGAAGGCTGACAGGCAGGTAGGCCATCCAGTTATTTTAGCCGGCCCGGCTAAAATGATTGGTCGTGCTTTTTACAGCACCACAGCTTCCACAGATGACATTTTTTAATGGATTTTTTGTCAAAGCACTTAAGATATTATTTGCTGGATGTTAAGAGCATTCTATGGAATATAGCAAAAAGTGTATCTCGAGCCGGTTTCTCAAACTTACCTACCCCACCTTTAACAGGCTAATTGCTTAGCCTGGAATATACAGTAAATTAGAAGAAGATGGAACATAACCAATCATGTAACCTTTAAATAAGTACTTGGAATTGGATTTAATGGCTTCAAAGTTAGATACAACTATTTCTCCATACTTGCAGTATACTCTGAATGTGCTTGTAGCATGTCAGCACATTCAGCAGATACATTTGCTTTGACCCTGCTCTAAAAGAGGCAGATCAGATGGCTGACCTACTGTATATGGACGGCATTTATATAGCACTTTTAAAGCTTTAGCTACCACTCGAAGAGCTTTACAAAAAAAGCAGACATTTTCCTATTCACACACACCTATATACAGTTTTCGCAGAGGCTACTACACAAGGTTTATGGGCTCAGAACAGTCTCATAATACACACATGCACACAGAAGGATTCAAAATTGTATTTCATGATCTGCAAAAGGATCCACACTTGTGTTTTTCAATGCACACACAAATGTGTTCCGTTTCATATACATATAAATAAAATCCAAACACAGAAAAAAGTTTTACATATGTATTTTTGATCCTCACAAAAAAAAATTCCGTTTAAATCCCCTGAACCTGCAAACACAACCCGCTTTCTGTACACGGATCGCTGTGCATTCGTGTGTGGGTTTTTTGAGATTCCCCTGACGCTCACCCGATTCGTACTTACTATCGTAATTTTTTCTATCTATAGCCAATCAGATGTCTCCTCAATTCTAAGCCAATCACATGAGCGCGCCCCCACGAGGGTATGATTTATTGCGTTCATGACACTTCATATACGCATTTTGCGCTGTCCGGTCAGCTCGCTAAACAGAGGGCGGAGCATCAGGTGATCATGCAGAGCTGCGTGTCTCCGTCAGACTCAGCAGCTGATCTGATCTCTCGCGTTTATGTCCATATCGATCAGATCCAGCTCTCCTGATCGGCCTTTATAGAGAGCACCGATCAAACTATTAAGAGTGAATATCGGCCGATAATGACCAGCGGGGCTCCCCCCCGTTGACAGTTCAATGCAGCACTGGCTTCGTAATGCACTGATCATTGGCGGATTTAGGATTGTAGGAGATCCGGGGCTTAGCCCAGGAGTTGTTGGGGGGTGCAGGGGTAAAGTGCTATTTTTTTACAACTGGGGGGTGGACCGAACATCCCTCCTTTAGGGGGG